TTTGGGTGGGAATGTAAGTTCACCTTTTACACATTGTAAGTGCAAAAACAGTGGCAGCGTTAGTCATGGCTGTGTTTTTTACTCGTCCAATTGTTGCTGTGTAATTCCGACTTTCTATCACTGCCAACGTATGTTTGCTTCATTATTCAATCTTCAGCATTGGTGCCATAATTTTTTTGCTTCGCTATCCATATGAGCGACTCGTTTGTCTGACGGTGGGAATTGTACCGTTGTTAAACACGGGCTCCTATTAATATTCGTTGGTACACTCTTATGACTCAGTGCAGATTAATTATATCAGTGGGGAGTGGTGGCACCGGTTAGCGCTGCACTGCACCACAATCCCGAGTTCGATGCCCGCTCACGGCCAACACTGGCGACGACTACCTGTACCGGTTCTGGGCCTCCCCTAGGTCGACTCAGCATGAAATGAGTATCTGCTGGGGTGTATGGTAAACTTCGCCACTAGGGAGACAAAGGCGGCCGGGCGTGGTGCTGGCCACCCTCCCCCCCTCGTGTGCTGTGCCTGCCTTCACAGGTGCTCCTCGCAACAGTCTGTCAAGACTACACAGGGTATATTTGTCTTATTTTTGTTTGTCAATGAAATCAGCGCCCACCCTGCATGCTCTTGATCGCATCTTGAGGCGAATAATTTCGATTCTAATACGATTTAAATAACTACGCCATCGATACATGCTGGGAAAGACAGAAACTTAAGTGGATAAGCAAGATGAACAAATGGATGTAACTGGGAGTATGCAGTGCACATAGAGAGATAGATACTGTACATGATCTGCCTTTGTTCTAGTAGCTTCTCTCAAACAATTATTTTGCAAAGCAAACCTATCGGAAGTGGCTTTTGGTTTGCTTATTTGTTGATCTTGAGTCCAACTTTCGATCCTCTTTTGTGAAGCGTATTTATGTATTTATTTATTCTTGTGTTCCACTGTAACACTGCTAGAACTTCCCTCTGGCAAAAATAATGGGACAAATCGAGTGGAAAAACTGCTGAATGGAGCCGGCGAGGAATCACCCCCAGTGAGGAGCTCGCATCTGGGTGGGTTTCGGCAGATGCAACTCTCTCATGAAATAATGGGGGGGGGGGGGGGGGGGCTTCTACACAACCGACCAATGTGCTTGTCAGGAGAAGCAAACTACGGATCATCTCCCGAGAATGCCTGCAGCACCACGATGCACGCCTCAAGATCTGGCAACGCCAACACCTGAAGCGGTGGGCCTGTGCAGAACAAGGCCGTAGCCATGGAGTCAACATTGGGGGGGGACCAAATCTTCCAGGGGGTCTGGGGCCCCCCACCCCAGAAAAAAAAATCTAAATTTGAAAACTAATTTCCTGCCTAAAATATTAAAAAATTCACGAACACATGGGATGGACTTTTTATTTTATTTTTACAATAATGTCTAATAGTGTATTGTATTACATTGCTCTGTTTTTACTTTTTTACCTTTTCTTGTTTCATTGTATGTAATGGCAGAGAATAGGGATTAATAAAGTACAACCATAACCACAATCATATAAACAGAAATGTATGCATTGGTATACAACAAATCCAGATATAATTGCCAAGGTTTAGCAAATTGTTGTTTTTATTTACATAACATAGCAATGATTATTTTTAAATATTTTTGATAGCTAAATATTTGGGGGGGGGATGTGTCCCCCCCCCCAATATATATTATAATTACGGCCTTGGTGCAGAATATTTGAGAAAAGACCCGTGTAGCATGGGACAGGAGATACGACGAAGAAAAAGATAAGATGAAATGACTCATTGAGACTTTCTCCGTTTTTGTTTTTCAGTTTTCATTTTTTCCGTGTACAGGAAAATTGGGTTTTCAGGTTCATACGACATACAGCCGTTTCAATACGGGGATTTTTTTTGTCTGTTTGTATTTCTCCCTTGTGATGGGACTCTGTAGGATGAACGTTGAGATTTATAAGGACACGGGGTGAACAATACGGTCTGAATACGTCTGTACTCAGGTAGGCACTGATAAGGGGTTGACACGTATGAACTCCTGCATATAACTGGTCTAAAATTAATTAGTTATACAAAAAAACGTAGTCTGTGACTTTATATTTGGGGTGTGGTGGTGGAAACATGTTAACTCCTTCTGGTATACCGAATGTCGTGGGTTTAATTCTGATCGCTACGCCTGTAGATATGGAGTTTGCATGTTCTCCCCGTGCTCGCGTGGGAATCACGAAGCATTAAGGGAAATTGGATGCTGTAAATGTCCGCGTGATAAGCCACTTCGTTCAGCTATCATTTGTGATGGCCAGGTCGCTTCTGAAAAAGAGCTATGTATCTTCTTGGTTCTTTCGGTAAAGTCACGTAGAAGGGAAGTAATAAAATAATAAAAATAAAACATATGTTTTATTTTTATTATTTTATTACTTCTTAAAAATAAAACATATGTTTTATTTTTATTATTTTATTACTTCCCTTCTACCCTTTTACCGACTTTACCGAAAGAACCAAGAAGATGGATCCCTGCAGTCACGAAAGCTTTAAATCAAAAAAGAGCTATGTAGCTCAGTGGGCCTTACCTGGAAAATATAAACATACTTTAGTTTCATTTATATTATGAAATATTGGCACTGACTATTTTTCTTTCTAATTGAATAAAACTGTGCCATTGTTTCCACAATCCATAATTTACGTGAGAATAAATCAACCAGGCTATGCGTTAATTGTGTGTTGACCGACTCTCTGTGTTGCATTGCATTACATTTCTGAGTTTACTAGGATTGGTTTTCTCATTCGTTCGTACCTGATGACGATTGCTTGTGTTGCAATCGAAACGTTGTATTTTATTATTTCGTTTATTTTTTTTCTACGTGACTTTACCGAAATAACCAAAAAGTAATTACGTGAGAATGCTGGATAACTGAAGAGGAGGATGCAATTCACTCAGTCGATGGTGATTTAGCACATTTACTTTGGGACATATTCGAGGGAGAAATTACCATGAAAATCTACTGAACAAAAATACGAAATGAGACGGAATGCCTCTGTCAAACATTCGTCGATCCACATGAGCACTGACATCATATTCAGCCATCTCATCAGCCATACGACCTTATGGACATGCGTACTTCCCGCAGAATGGGTTGAGTACGAGAAATCTCTGTCCTGTTTCGACATTCCGCGTCTCATCAGCAGAGGCAGGCTCGCTTGAACCAATAATGCTCGTCAGCTGTCGGCAGCTTAATGCCAATGATCATTTCTCCTCAAAGATGCTCAGTGCTTATTTTGTATTTCGTGTTGTATTGCTTTGTATATACTGTCATTCACGGGATTTTTATTTAGGCTGCAGGAGGAGGAATCCGATGAGCTATGACGATCTTTTTCCACAGATGTCCGGTCGAGGCACGAGTGTCAGCGAGTGACATCAACAAACACAATGCAACAAACATAATGCAACAGACACACTACAAGCACAATACAACAGACACAACACAACAGACAAAATGCAAACAAGGATGTGAGAGCAACATAGAGAAGGGGGTAAGCAAGTCCATAGACTTAAATAAATAAATCTAAATAAATGATAGAATTTCGATTTAAAGCTTTCGTGACTGCAGGGATTCATCTTCTTGGTTCTTTCGGTAAAGTCACGTAGAAGGGAAGTAATAAAATAATAAAAATAAAACATAATAAAATAAAATATTTCTCACGACGTTTCGGCTACAACGCAAGCAGCCGTCTTCATTCTTCACCTGAAGACGGCTGCTTGCGTTGTAGCCGAAACGTCGTGAGAAATATTTTATTTTATTATGTTTTATTTTTATTATTTTATTACTTCCCTTCTACGTGACTTTACCGAAAGAACCAAGAAGATAAATGATAGAAGTACAATTTGGACATGTACATCAATTCCTGCGGATTGGTTTACACCGAATGCAAGTTTGGGGCAAGGCAGCAAAACAACAACAACAGTCCCAGACCACACCAAGACAACAACAACAGTCCCAGACCACACCAAGATAACAATATTCCCAGAGCAGACTAAGACAACAACAACAACAACAGTCCCAGACCACACCAAGACAACAACACACAGTCCCTCGATTACACTGCACATTCAAAGTGAACTGCGGATACATAGGTAAGGTTCAAAGTGTGGCTCAAACATGTGTACTCCCAAAATGTTATGAAGCTGCTTGGGTATGTAACCAACATGTTGACTTCTTGTTTTACGTGGAGAGACACATTTGGGAAAGAGGCGTTATGTCTGATTATTTATTTTCAGAATCAGAATCTTTATTTAGACTGCAGGAGGAAGCAGATGAGCTATAAAGCTCTTTTCACAGATGTTCAGTAGGGTCGGATCAGAACGTTAGAACCTCAAACAATCAAAACACACAATAGGAGTGCAAAATATAGGAAAGGTAAACACATTGCTTATAAAATAAAGGTAAAAAAAAACTTGTATTTTACTTACCATGTAAAGCCCAATGAGCTATTAGTTTCTATTTCAGAAACGAAGTGGCTTATCACGTGGAAATTCAAAGCTTTTGGAAAAAAATTGTTGAGCACAATGTTTATATGTGGGTAAGTAATGTTTACCCTGTCACCCAGACACCTTGCTCTAAAGTTACCTCTACCCTAAGTCTTCTCCAGTAATACACAACCTCATGTAAAAATTAGTAAGCGTAAACACGACTTTAGTATAACGATGCGACCGCTCTTAGTGACTTCCGCTTTTGGCAGCCCGACAAATTCATCAATGGGTTTCCCAAAACTTTCAGACGTAAAACCAGAGCGAAATAAACTATTTGCAACATTTAAAATGCGTTTTCCCCTGAAAGCTACAGTCGGCTTCTGTACTCCTAGTTAACTGCACCAAGGACAAACTCATATTTGAAAGTGTTGGATTTTTATTTTTTTATAACTTGCGCCCCCCACCAATCTAACACCTGAATCCACGTGTGTTTCTGTTACAGAATTGACAAAAACTAAAAACACGCAAAAGCCATGGCAAGTCTACCAGTGAATGGCTCTTTTGAAAACGAAACAGCTCTCCCCCAAGAGATTTGGAGCACCACTAACCACGTGGTGTACGCTATCTTGCTGATCACGTGGTTGCCGTCCTTTGTGATGTTTGTGCTCATGGTGTGTCTCTTCGACCGGGTGACGACGTTCACCGAGAGCACCAAGTATATCCTCTTCATGAACCTGATGACCAGCGACATGCTCTACGTGCTCCTTTCGGACCTGATAATGATGATAAGATTTGAGCGCATCTCGCTGATTCGCATCCTCTGCTGTTTTTTAATCAACCTAAGTATGGCGCTTCAAATCAACAGCACCCTCACCATCACGGCCATGGCTCTGGAGCGCTACTTGGCCATTTGTCAGCCACTTCGATACCACCAACTGGCCCACCGGCAGTCCGGCCTGCAGGTATGTGGTTGGAGATGATGATGATGTTAACCATGATAGCACGCAGTATCTCTGACATACCTGGCTAATGTGGGTGCATGGTACCCCGGTTTTTTTGTTTTCTTAAGAAACACACATTGCCGTGTACCAATACATGCAGCCTTCATCTTACAAACATCCGCGCTTGAACCAGCTTGCATTAAAAATATGTTTAACTTCCACTTAAAGCGGAACTATTTTGTTCAGCGGAGCGATCTTCTGCGAGATGTAGTGAGTCAAGTTCAAGTTCATTTATTAGGTATAGCCCTGTGAGCCATTCGGCTCTTGAATCGGGTGCAACCGCAACAAACAAAAAACAAAAACATGAACAAGAAAACATCTTAAAGTGAATATGTGACTAAGTGCAAACAGAAAATCCAAGAAAAGACAGCAAAATATTGCAGAAAAAACACCGTACACCAACGCTGTGTGCAAAAATCCCAGTGGGATGCAAGTCAAACAACAACAACAACAACCATAAGACAACTTAGGTTAAGGCCATCAGTCTTACTCTTTACTGCAACAAACAAATATGGCCAAACCAAAAAACTTGTCGAAATCACCAAAATAAAGTCATGAAAGCAATGAAACAGTGATCATAGGAACTGTGACGGAAATTTCACAATAAACGACATAAACAACATGTACTACCAAAACCCTGCAGCCATAGCTGGCTGAATGAGTCACTCCACAACAGCAGGAGCATCAGTCGGAGTATCATAATTTTTCGATGCACCTTTAAGATCAGCACACTAAATCAAAACACAGGCCATACTTTGCAGCGATCATCCGGAGCGAAACATTTTATTTTAGGCCACTGAATAGCACTGGCAGCTAGGGTGTACAACTCCTCTAGAGCAGTTTTGAGTGAAGATCTCATAGGTAGTGACTCAAGTTGTAATTTATTGGCAATAGCATTCCAGACCCTGGGGGCATCAATAGCAAAGGCCCTTCCTCCAGTATATGTACGGCAATAGGGAATATGAAGCTGGTAAATGAGCGTAGACCTTAGGTCAAATTTGTTCTTTTAAACAGAGAGGAGATCCAGCAGGTAATCTGCGGATTTTTTTGTAAGTACATCATGAATAAATAAGATCTGGTGCGCAAGCCGTCGAACATTAAGAAATGTTAAGTTTGACCCAATGTAGATATCACAGTGGTGAGTCCTATATGGGCAGTTCAATGCAAATCTTAAGGCTGAGTGATACATTGAGTCAAGTTTCTTCAGTACAGCACTTGGGGCTGATTTATACACGATGTCACAGTAATCAAGTAGAGGCAGTATGGTAGCTTTTATCAATTCCAAACGGAACATAGGGGGGAAGCAGTGCTTGTGACGATACAGAAAACCAATTTAATTTTTTGTCTTTTTCCCAATATAATCAATGTGATCTTCAAAATTCACTTTTGAATCCAGAGTCGGCCTCGCGCTGGGAGTGTTTGTGTGTTGTGTTAAAGTAACATAATAAATTGTAACTTACATGACTACATGAACCCCCCTTTGGTGTTTGCATGTAACAGACTCACAGTGATGACTTTACCTTTACTCAATTAAGACCGAAAACGAGAAGACTTCTTCACAATTAGGGCTGTGGCCTGATTGGTGATGGTTGTAATGATCAGCGAAATGTCGTACTCAAATTCTAAACGTTGTGGGTTTGTTGTCCAACACAAAACCGGTGTCATGAACTAGTAACTAATTGGTACGTTTTGTTGACGTGACAAACCTTACTAAGTGGCTGTGTCATGATCTAACGAAAAACCTTCATTATGAATTGTGGGTTTGCTCTCCAACATACTGGTGTGCTGAAATAGTAACTCATCGCACATTTTGTTTACATGACAAACCTTACTAATTGGTTTTGTTGCGAGTGACATCTGAATTACTATTTGGATCAGAGAGTTGGACACGAACTAAGCACCTCCGATAAGCATGGTTGGCTAAGTTCAAAATACATACAAGAAGCTGGAAAATAAGTAATTGAATATTGATTACTCTTTGGTTATTTCGGTAAAGTCACGTACAGTGAGGGAAAAAAGTATTTGATCTCCTGCTGATTTTGTACGTTTGCCCACTGACAAAGAAATGATCAGTCTATCATTTTAATGGTAGGTTTATTTGAACAGTGAGAGACAGAATAACAACAACAAATTCCAGAAAAACGCATGTCAAAAATGTTATGAATTGATTTGCATTTTAATGAGGGAAATAAGTACTTTACCCCTCTGCAAAACATGACTTAGTACTTGGTGGCAAAACCCTTGTTGCAATCACAGAGGTCAGATGTTTCTTGTAGTTGGCCACCAGGTTTGCACACATCTCAGGAGGGATTTTGTCCCACTCCTCTTTGCAGATCTTCTCCAAGTCATTAAGGTTTCGAGGCTGACGTTTGGCAACTCGAACCTTCAGCTCCCTCCACAGATGTTCTATGGGATTAAGGTCTGGAGACTGGCTAGGCCACTCCAGGACCTTAATGTGCTTCTTCTTGAGTCACTCCTTTGTTGCCTTGGCCCTGTGTTTTGGGTCATTGTCATGCTGTAATACCCATCCATGACCCATTTTCAATGCCCTGGCTGAGGGAAGGAGGTTCTCACCCAAGATTTGACGGTACAAGGCCCCGTCCATCGTCCCCTTGATGCGGTGAAGTTTCCTGTCCCCTTAGCAGAAAAACACCCCCAAAGCATAATGTTTCCACCTCCATGTTTGACGGTGGGGATGGTGTTCTTGGGGTCATAGGCAGCATTCCTCCTCCTCCAAACACGGCGAGTCGAGTTGATGCCAAAGAGCTCCATTTTGGTCTCATCTGACCACAACACTTTCACCCAGTTGTCCTCTGAATCATTCAGATGTTCATTGGCAAACTTCAGACGGGCATGTATATGTGCTTTCTTGAGCAGGGGGACCTTGCGGGCACTGCAGGATTTCAGTCTTTCACGGCGTAGTGTGTTACCAACTGTTTTCTTGGTGACTATGGTCCCAGCTGCCTTGAGATTATTGACAAGATCCTCCCGTGTAGTTCTGGACTGATTCCTCACCATTCTCATGATCATTGCAACTCCACGAGGTGAGATCTTGCATGGAGCCCCAGGCCGAGGGAGATTGACAGTTCTTTTGTGTTTACTCCATTTGCGAATAATCACACCAACGCTTGTCACCTTCTCACCAAGCTGCGTGGCGATGGTCTTGTAGCCTATTCCAGCCTTGTGTAGGTCTACAATCTTGTCCCTGACATCCTTGGAGAGCTATTTGGTCTTGGCCATGGTGAAGAGTTTGGAATCTGATTGATTGATTGCTTCTGTGAACAGGTATCTTTTATACAGGTAACAAGCTGAGATTAGGAGCACTCCCTTTAATAGTGTGTTCCTAATCTCAGCTCGTTACCTGTATATAAGACACCTGGGAGTCAGACATCTTTCTGATTGAGAGGGGGTCAAATACTTATTTCCCTAATTAAAATGTAAATCAATGTATAACATTTTTGACATGCGTTTTTCTGGATTTTTGTTGTTGTTATTCTGTCTCTCGCTGTTCAAATAAACCTACCATTAAAATTATAGACTAATCATTTTTTTGTCAGTGGGCAAACTTAAAAAATCAGCAGGGGATCAAATACTTTTTTCCCTCACTGTAGGTTATGCGTAGGTATAACCTACGTAGGTTTTAATTACGTGACTATACCTATGTGACTATACCTATGTGACTAACTTACGTAGGTATAACATACGTAGGTAGGTATAACCTACCTAAAGGACCAAAGAGTATAGATTCCTGCAGTCACGAAAGCTTCTTCATTGAGCTATAATCTGTAGCCAGGTCACTTCTGAAAAAAATCTGCATAGCTCAGTCGGCCTTGCCTGGCAAAATAAAAATAGTTACATGTTTAGTTTAGTGTGTTTCTACTGTGCAGCGATTGTGGGACGTGATGAAGGATATGGAGCATTGGCAATGTGTGGTGACATAAACGGATTTGGCTATGCTGATGATGAGGTGTCGACCTTAATATATCTGAAATGTATCAATGGATGCAATTTATCAATGAAAGCAACGTTAAATCTCAGAAATACTTTTATTCAGAAGTTTTCTTAGTCAATACCATGTACAATGCTACGTTTAATTGGTTTACAATGCTATGCATTATTTCCAGGGCAACACATTTTTATTTGGATTCCGGTTAAGCTTTCAGTAAAAAAAAGATTCGAGTTTTATTATTTTTAAAATCAACTCTCTGATTCCAACTCATGTGAATATTTGTGTTTTACAGGTAGTAACTGGCGTCTGCCTCCTGTCTCTGTCAGTGCCAACCATCCGTCTCTTATTTTGCGTAGCCAGCGGCCCGCTCTTCATGAGCGAGTACCAACTTGTATGTGAAATGAACCAGTTGGATGCAGACATGCCTTATGGAAAGGTAGCAATCATGATCCGTGACACGTTTTTGTACACGGAATTTGTATTTGCCGTGCTGTCTGTAGCAACATCCTATGTCATGACGGCTCTGGCCGCTAAGAGGGCCTCGGAGGGACGCAGCGGCTTCTCTAAGGCCAGAAAGACCATAGTGCTGCACGCAATTCAGCTGGGTCTGTGCTTACTGCCGGTGGCTATACCCATGTTCTACAAGTCGGTGGAGTTGTTGCGCCTAAACGCTTGGGCCACGCACGTGATCAGGATTGCGGTCTTCCTGGCACTGCACGTGTTTCCCCGCTTCATGAGCCCCTTTCTGTACGGCAGCAGGGACGAGGAGATTGTGAAACAAGTTCGAAAGTTATTATCGTCTCGCGTTCATTCAAAGCGAGTAATGCCATAGGTGGTCATGCTTCCTCAAGAAAGAAAAAATATCAGCATTCATGAGGCTATTTTGTATGTTGAACTTCTTTTCCAATGTATGTAGCCAACCGTTCGAATCGGAGGAACAATTAGCACACACCTCCGAACTTCTTAAATGCCCTAGAATCTCAATGCTCCACGGAGCTTGGGGACATTACTACCCCACAGTTCAAGTTTCATGATCTCTTTCCTGTGGTTTCCTGTACTTCTCAATCTAACGAAAACTGTGCGTGTGACAAACAGGGTTGCGATTTCCGCATGGAAAATGCGGAAGGAGGGTTCACATTTTCCCGCATCTTTGCTAAAGTCAACCGCAAACGGTGGAAAGACTACTCCTATGACCGCGCGCTTTTAACAACACGTTAATGCGTTCTATTGGAAAGGATACATGCAAGGCCCAGCATCACGTAGGGCTTTGAGTTACTGATTGGAATGAATATATGATTTCCGCATTTCCGCACAAGAACCACATACTTTATTCAAATGCGGAGCCGTGATTACGAGCACATGTACATGATGTATCCTTTCCAATAGAACGCATTAACGTGTTGTTAAAAGCGCGCGGTCATAGGAGTAGTCTTTCCACCGTTTGCGGTTGACTTTAGCAAAAATGCGGGAAAATTTGAACCCTCCTTCCGCATTTTCCATGCGGAAATCGCAACCCTGGTGACAAAATGTGTGGATTTAATCGTTTTACCATAAGTCATCGCAATGCTCTGTGGCACTCGAGCGAGACAACTCCCAGTGACAGCCTTCTTTACGCAGCACAAGATGTATATCTTTGTTTAACTGTAGTGATATGTTGAGCAATGTAAGAATACCTCACTATAGTTTAAATATGTTGCAATGGGTTTGTTTTATATACAAAGGCTTTTTTGTTTTGTTCTTATTATGTATTATTTATTTTATTTCATGGCACAACAATAAACATACCACCCAGCATTACTGGTTCGGGACGTGGTCCTTTTTTACATAACTAATTGTTGGAATTTTACAGTTGGGCCATTACAACGAATTTATTTTGGTATCAAATCACCCCCACCCACCACAATTTAAACAGCAGTAGCATTGAGCAATTGTATAAGAACCAACCGCATTGCCATCGAGTCCACATCAAACTTTAAGACCTGCTGGTGTACAACTATGTATGTGTAGTGAGTCCAACTGAGTCGCAGACGTTGTCTTGGGAGCCACACTTTATTTAGCACCTTCAACATAACATCACACAATCTACACTCGGGTATCGAATGCCCATCTAACCACGCTATGGCAGAACTAGATACGTTTCGCTATCCCGGCCCGGACACAAGCTGGGTCCCAGACCGCGTGGCCAGAGGCTTCTTCTCCCCGACGTGGATCTTCTTCACACCAGTACACGAAGAACCCCGAGCTCCTCACGGATCCCCCGTTATGTCCCCCGGGGCTGGGGCTGACTCCGCCCTTCGCCCTGCCCACCTTCCAGATCTCTCGAGTTCTTTCTCGAAGGCTCCCGAGAGCTGTTTAAGACCACGTGACCGCCCAGCGACCCCCGTCCACCGGTTCCGCCCCCTCCAATATCATCCGGTCACGTGTCAGAAATCAACCAGCGTATCATGCCCCAACGTAACCCTGGCTGGCTGACGCTCCCTCTCGCTCCCTCACCGGGAGCCCGCACCGCACACTGCTCGCGGTGCCGCCGCGCTGCCCAGTGCTCACCCAAGCCCCGCTAGGGCTGGTACTATGCCCCGTAAGAGGGCTACACATAATATCAACACATTATCCGCCGTGGCTTCGTAAGCCCAGCACCACACAGTGACAATCACAGTCACTACATATGTATGTATGGATCTTGATCCATTTTGTACCGTATGTAGCCAACCGTGCAAATCGGAGGTGCGGGGGAAGGACAACAAACTGTGCACAAAAAGCAGCTCTAAATAAAACAATTTTTAGTAGTGTCGTGTTTAGTAAAGCAGTGTATAGTAGTGTTGTATATATTGTGTTGTGAAAAATAATAATAAAAATATATTTTTTATGTAAAACGTAGAAATGTATTAAATGATGCACATTTATGAAATTATGCAAATGTATGTAGTTATGCAAGTTATGCAAAATTTATAAAATAATTAAACAGGTGTGTGTTTAATGTCAATTTAGTGTAAGTATAATGTGATCAATCGTATGTGTGATTAAATGTGTATAAAGTATTACGTCAAAATGTATGTATATTCTCTATGTGTGTGTGTTAGTTTGTATTATGATCAATAGGTGTGCGTGTAGTTATGTGTATTATTAATATTGGCTCAGCTTCGTTGTCTTGGGGTGTATTCTGTGTATGTGGTTATTTGTGATCAATGTGTGTGTGATGTGACGCTCGGAATTGTTGTCTCGGGGTGTATTCTGTGTGTGTGGTTATTTCTGATTGATATGTGTGTGATGTGATGCTCGGCTTCGTTGTCTTGGGGTGTATTACCAATCGTGATAATACAATGGTTCTCGCTTTAACTTTTACTTATTATGATTTTCGTGTAATTATCTCCGGTCTCAGGATTCAGGATACAGTTCTTATGATTAAGATTATTATGCATGAACTTCGGAAGAAACCACTAACACTTTTCTGTGTTAAGCAACTGTAATATTTAAAAACACTCTAATATGCGAACACACTTATGATCGGAATTTATTCAACAGCACTCCTGGAGATATCCTACTTATCGATCGGTCCAATTTAACCGCAATGGTTACGTTGTTAAACTGAGCTATAGCGATATGCTAACTCCTCATAGGAGTGCGACAATAGACGATGATAGGAAAGTCATTCAAATGACAATATTCATACGGAACCGCGCTAAAGGAACATGTGCCCAATGGCAAAAGTGGACATCAATGAAATCATTGGTAAGATTATGCAATTAAATAAATGTCCCGATACAATATTGTGCATGCGAATGTGTAGGTTTGGCTAATAAATTCTAATCAATTGATTAATGGGACATCAATGACATCGCGGGCAAAATAATGTAATTAAAATAAATATCTCAAAACAATAATATTCATGTGAGTGTGTAGATTCGTAACATAGATGCTTATAAATGTTTAGTGTGATATCAATGAATTCATTGGTAATATTAAGTGATAAAAGAAAACGAATGACTAAAATACTTCTAAACGACCGTATTCATGAAACTCAATGGACAGAACAATGCTTTTCATCTTCTTGGTTCTTTCGATAAAGTCACGTAGAAGGGAAGTAATACAATAATACAAATACAAGATGAATCCCTGCAGTCACGAAAGCTTTAAATCGAAATTATTATTTTCATGACCAGCTAATAGTTAACACACGACATTGGCATGGCAACCCTTTGCGAAGCAAAAAAAAACTTCTTGGAACAATTTTATTTGTACCGATATGCGCGTTGTGTGTGTTGGAGGGCATTCACCACAAGGTTCAATAATATAGCGGGCAGTATGGTTTGAGTTCTTAAGAGAGGTTTTTGGGTTAGATCGCGTAAATATATAAATGTGTCGTTCAAACCCGCCACCACCCCACACAGCCAACTAGTAAGGGTTGTCATGTAAACAGAACATGCCAATTCGTCACTCGTACAGCACGCCGGTGTGTTGGAGAGCCAAGCCACAGCATACAAAATCTGAGTACAACGTTTCGCCAGTAATTACAACTAGCTTTATCAAGCGATAGCCAGATTTGTGGAGAAGTCTAACTGTTTCGTTCCTTATTTAGAGGCGTAGATGTGGTGACCACGCTTCTGCGCTCTTGCGCCACGTGGGGGGGGGGGGTGTTACTGAGGAAACGACCATTATGCATTATGCGAGCCCTTTGAAATTGTCCTTCCTGTCTATTGTGTGTATTAAAATAGCCGTACCAATAATGTATTATTTTATGATTTGCTTCCACGCAGCACTAAGGCGGTAGATATCCGAACTGTTAAAATTACTTTTATATATTTAAATTGCAATAGATTATCTAATTATTCTTGGCCAGTAGTAGCTATTTTTGCACAGAACTTCAACATTATCAAAATCAATTGAGTGTCATTGTTGGCACGCGTGTTCTGCTATTAGGATAAGTTAATATTTCCCTGATGTTCTCTTAGTCTCGTGGTGATCAATCATCCTGTTTGCCCAACATAACATTTTCCACACGTGCAGATAATCGTGTGCACACCTTCTGTTGATAGCTTTGGTGACGACGGAAGAGCGTTCCAGACAGCCGCAGAAGCGCATTTCAAAGCGTGCAATGCAGTGCCCATCTTTGTTTGATGATTATCAAAAGCCACTGTGAAGATGACCGAAGTTGGTGTGATGGTTTGTGCAATGTATTGTGGTTCATTTGTGCCAAGCACTCTCTGTGTGATGAGTCCAACCTCCAAATGTATTCGTTCGGTGAGCACTGGATGGATATGGATTGATCTTGCAGTACCCGTCATGACACGTGCCAAATGATATTGTGCATGCTGAAGCTTAGTAACTATGGAGGAAAAACAACAAGATATACCAGTGTTGGCAGTGGTGTCAGGGGCATTTTTCTTGCAGCCAGGGGAGTTGCAGCACTTGCACTTTCACAATAACCACCATCACACAACAAACAACAACACTCAACGCATCAACTGTGATGCCACCTCGCCTAATTGGATTTTTTGCATCACCTGCAAAACATGTGACCTCTTTTATGTTAATCTACAGGTGCCAATTGTATTTTGCAATTTCAATCAGCTGTCGCCCCCTGGACATATCCAAGTATGTGGTTCGCCGTTTCATAAGCAGTGGCCATGGTCCTCACAACTGACACAGGGTGGAGATACCTTAATCAACAAGTACATTGAGAAGAGGCAGAAATAATATTATTGCTTGGAGTCATCATTGTAATTCTATATTTAGGACACAATTATAATGTGTGATGGATGGCATTTATGAATACAAAATAATACGCAATTCCAGCAAATCCCCTCCTGATTTGCTGAGCTGAGCACACTAAAA